TTAAAAAAAATAATAAGACAAAATATTTGAATTTAATTTATTATTATTTCTTTTTTTATTTATTTTTTAATTATTATAAAAAATAACAACATTACAATCACCAATATTGCTGCTACCCTCACAAAAAAAGTTGCTGCTGTTCCTAAAGTTATCATTACTATCATCAATATTCTTGCTACCTCAAAGTTACTGCAAAAAAATTGCTACTACCTCAAAGTTGTTGCCACTTCTTTATTATAACAAATTCATTAAAATAAAGCATGCTAAAATAAACTATAAAGAGCCCTAAGCTCAGCTATACTAATCATGATATAGTATTTATTGTAAAAGAAATTGACAAATTCTGGCTAATGCTTCCAGCACTTTTTGTTTTCCGCTTGATTCTATAATAACCAGACTAGCTTTTAGATACTTCTTATATAGCTATCCTATAATAACAACAATTTCTTTTTGTGGTAAACTGAAATCAAGTTTATTCTAATATTTTGCAGGAATTAGTTTTGTAAAATGTAAAGTATGAGAATATAACATGAATATTAAATATAGTTTGATCCAGAATTACACTAGTTTGAAGTGTAGTTTGACACATATTTTCATTTTCACATGCAAAATCAGCCGTTAATTGTACTTTCCCAAAACCTTTTGAAGGAATAAGAGCTGTATTTCTCAGTTGTTTTATTTATTAAAAAATGCTGTTTAAGTAACAAAATAGAATATTCAAATAATCAAAATATATAAATATATAGACCTCTATAATGATCACAGTAACATCATTCCTAGTAATAACAATTTTGGGTTTTGCTGTAATATAAGGCTTGCCTATAATATATAATTTGCATTGTGGGTGGGTCTAATTTCAGATATGATATAAATTAAAGAAATCAATAGAAAGTATATTACAAACACTCATAATTTTCATAATTTCTCATCTAACTCTCAAGGGGTAGTCATGCATGTTAGCAACCTAAACTAGTAAATTCATTATTAGTGCTTTTTTCATGTTGTCATCTTCTTCTAAATTCTTAATAACTTTATGTATATCTCTTAAAAATACTTTGATTTTACTGTCTAAAATTTCTTTAAGATTATCAATATTAAAATTTTGTCTTTTAAATGTTTCTAAATCGATTTGGAAAGAGTATATTTTTCAAAAAAGCTAAACACTAAAAATATCTAAATTATTAGCATTAGGTTTGCTAAAAAAATGTTAAATAATATAATTTATACCTTATATATCATAAGAAAGAACATTGCACTTGCGAGCTGACTCAAAACTTACTTTTAATGTTTGCAAATCATTTTTATTGAAAGCAGAATAAGTGAGATTGAGTAATCTAGTAAAATCCTGTTCTTTAAGCTTTGCTTTGACTAATTTTTGTGATGCCTTAAGAACATTATCAAATAATGTAGCAGAAGATGAGAAGGATACTACTAGTTGAAAAATATGTGAGATAGAATGAGAAAACTTTGAAATGTGACTGAGAAAAGAAGACATTTTTATGAACTAAATTTTTTAAAATCACATATGAATAACATAGCTATAATACTATATAAAGCGTTATATTATACTGTATTAGGGTAACATATTTTTTGCTAAACTCAAATTATGCTTACTTAATATAATAAGATATGCTAGTATATGTAATAAAATATTTGTTTTAAAAAATGTGATAATTTCTTCAAATTATTTTATTTAAAATGTATTATAACTATACTACAATTACAAAATTTTAATTATTAAAATACAAATAATTCAAAGCAGCAATTGAATCTTCTGAAAGAACATGCTGTCTATATTAGTATATGCTGAAAAACTTTGTTTCACATCTACTTCAGATACTAGAAGTTTATTCTAAAGCCAATCTTGATAAATTTGGTAAGCTTCTAATATTGTTGTTTCAATAAATATTTAAATCAAACTCACCACCTTCAAACTCCTTTTTCAAATTACAATAAATTTTCCATTCTTTTATAATTTGATCTGTTGGCCTTTTAAATTCTTAAATTTCAGAATATAAACTAATATTATAATGATGTCGTTAAGCATGAATATAATGAAAATCAATGCATTGAATTGCTTTAAACAAAAATAATGCTGAATAATAGTCTATATATTTCTTTAATTTATTAAAAGCTAATTGATAAACTTCTTAAAACATTGTAATAAATACTGATATATCAACATTTTCTTCTAAAAAGTTAGTATTTATCTCATTACTAAAAGGAGGTTAAATAATACCTGATTGTAATGCAAATTCAAGTGGTGAGTCACAAAAGGAATAATAGGTTTATTTCTAATTTTAAAGAATCTATAATACTATGTAAATAAATATAAATTAGATTTGCATTTTTTATATAAATAAATAATATTAATTATAACTTAACACTTTGCACTAAATAAAACATAACTATAGTTTCAAATGTAAAAATATGTACTGAATTTTTAAAAATTGTTGCCAATTCTCAGATAATTTTACTTTTATTACTAATAATTTTTTTCTTTAATATAGAATTTACATAATTGTGATATATGTTGATTAATTTAAAAAACAAAGTTAAAGCATAAGTTTCAATAGGTTTTTACAAGTAAAGGAGATAATATGATTGAGAAAAAATAGTGATAAAAGAAAAAAGGAATTTTAAAAAAGCAAATTATCTTCTTTTACATGCAAAACAATTTCTTTTATGTGTAAAATAATGAATAAAATATTTTTTTAATATTTGCTATAATATTAACTAAAAATTTGAAACTCTTATAATTATTCTATGTTTCTCTAACTAAAGTTAAAATATAAGCTAAACAATAGTTATATTTTAATTGAAAAATTAAAGAGGATAATATTTAAAAGGTTTTAACATATATGCTATATTATCAGAAATAAAAAAAATAAAATTGTCATATTATAAAATTTAAGGTTTTTATAATCAATTGAGTAATAGTAGTATTATTAATATTATTTAAATGTTCTGTCTTAACTAATTTAATTTGATTGCTAAAACTAAATAATACATTAATAGCTACCCAACCCAGATTCTATCTTGATGATAATATAATATATTAAGAATATATTTTAGAAATTTTAGTTATTCTGCACTTTTATCTCCTAAAGGTACAATTGATTCTTTTAAATTCTCATTGAGTAATTCAAGATAATTCTTCAATGTATTTGCTAATTTCTCTTTTTCCTTTTTCAGTTTATTAGAGTATGTATACATTCTCATTCCTTTAGAATAATCTTCTATCATTCTTTTAGAATAATAATTTTAATTGTTTCTTTGTAATGATTCTTTATTGTAAAATTGTGAAACTCTACAAATGTTTAATTAAACTTTAGAGAATTCATGATTTTTTAAGAGTATTTTTTGTAAAAGCAAATGGCAAATACTAAATGATTTATGATTATAACAAAGGAATAAACAAATCATTTAAATAGTCAAATGACTAGATCATTACCTAATACTGGAGACAATTTTTTTACATTTATTATAAGATATGACTAAAAATTAATGTAATTATATTTTTATATATTATAATGATTATAAAATAAGTATTTTCTTATTTAAAAAATTGGAACTGAACTATAATGTGACTAAAAAAGGAAAGTAGTTATATGGGGGTAACTATAGAGGGGTTGACTGTATTACATTCAGAATATATAAAATCTAAAGTATGCAATATACTAATTAGACATATAAATTCAGTATTTTTCTGTATACGAAAAAAAACAATTTGTATATGAAAATATTTACAAATTTATTATACTGTTGTTCTATATATGTTATATATTTTTTAAACCTATTATTTCTGTATATTTTTCTCATACAGATTATTTATAGGATATATTCATTAGTATTAAAAGTAATAAGTAAAATTAGTTATTAAATAAAAAGTAATAATACTTTATATTATGAAGATAATATTAAAATTTTTACAAGTAAAGAAATTTATGCAAACTTATTATTATGTAATATAATCTAAATAAATTTATTAAATATTTTTTTATATTGCTATAAATTTTTTAATTAAATTTAATATAATAAATAATAGGAGTAAGTACTTTATGATAGAAATTTCAAATATAATAAATATATAATATTAAATTTTTATTACATTCATTATATTAATTATCACATTCTTTTTAAAATAAGCATTTTGTAATGAATTCTTTAATAGTATATGTACTAAAATAAAAACATTTAATACGGTAGTATCACTTTATTAAACAAATTTTAAAATACATTATACTAATATATATAAATATATTAATTTTATATAATAAGGTAACTATAATAGTATTAAAAAAAATTATAAAGGAAATTCGGCTTTAATTAAAAATATCTTTTTATAAACAATGCTTAAACGATCTCAATCATCTCATTTGATCGAAGAGAAACGTTTTTAATCATAATTTATACCAAAAATTGTCCGGTAATCAAAAATCCAAAGATCTGTTTCTACTTTTAGCCGTCAAAAGTTGGCTAAGTATAAAAATATCACAAATGATAACGGGAAGTAGCGGATCAATTGAAACATTAACCTCCTTGTTATCTTGTATGCAGATAATGCGGCTTATTTTGTCAATAAACTTCATGTGATTTGTGCGTGCTCCCAAAGTAGCACATGAATTTGTTTGTGGACATCATGATATAGCATTTATTCCTTTCCTTTGAAAAAGGAACTAACTTCCTTTATATAATAGTAATGTTTATCTTTGAACTTTATTTTTTAAAACAAAAGAGGTAACATGCTTAGCTTATCCAAATTAGATCAAAATGCCGAGAATATTCTGCGTGATAATATCACGCGAGTGTGACACGACCTTATGATCAATTTTTTTTCGGCTCAAACGGAATAAAATATTCCTATTCTTGGATAGTATAATATAAAAATAATATATAATATTATAATATAATAATATATAGTATATATAAATCGTTTTCGATCCTTTTTGTCTTACAATCTCTTTCTTTGAGTAAAAAAAAAACCAAAACAAAAAAATATGGTTTCTCCAGCATATGCCGAGCCTGTAGAAATCAGACGTGGAAAAAAAGTCAACTCACCTAACCGTAATGGAGCACAAGATATTGGACTTAGTCCAAGTTCATATAACCGTCAAAATAATATAAATAGGTTGGCAGCATCTCCCCCATTAGCTCAATCATACTCGCAGCTCTCAAAGTCTCAACCTTATTCTGGACAGAATGCATTAGACAGTCATCTAAGCAGTTCTGGAAAATTTCCTGTTACAGATTCTTCTGGATCATTAAACCAGGCACCGGAAACTTTTGCTATTGATATTCCCAAACAAAAGAAAGCCGAAATTATCAAAAAGCATCTCGTCACCGAAGATGATCTTGCTGGTAATTCTGAACTTTATGGAAGTTCGGGGAATAATGATGCTCTTTATTCTACCTCACATCAATTACCTGGAGGTGATGCAACTCATGAGGTTTATAAATGGCACGCAGGGATAGAAAATGCCCCCATGAAACGTACACGTTCACATTCCTTACATTTACCACGACCTAGTGATCCAGATACTTCCAATATCAGGGAGCCTGGAGGTTTCCGTCGCCACCATGTTATAATGAAAGCGAGGAAAGCTGGCAAGGAGCCACCAAATATAATCACTCGGAATTTCATTGATTTCTTAACAATGTTTGGTCATTTTGCTGGTGAAGACTTGTCAGACGATGAAGAGGATGAGGATGAGGATGAAGATGATTATGAGAATATTGCGATTTCAGAAGTTACTCCTTTGATTCCAAGAGAAAGAGAAAGGGCTGGAGAAGGAGGTACTGCAACTCCTTCAAAAGCCGTGTTTTTGCTTTTAAAATCCTTTGTTGGAACTGGTGTTATGTTCTTGCCAAAAGCGTAAATATTTATTAAATAGCACTGTGTATTTCTTTTATACCTGCAACTTTTACTAATGGATACAAATTTTCAACTCGGTTATGAACAAAATTTCAATTATTGGGTTTCATATACCTTTAACAGATTTTGCAATGGTGGTATGGTTTTTTCTACTATTGTTTTGGTTTTTATAGGTTTAATATCTTTAGTCTCTTTCCTGTTACTGGTACAGACGCGATTAAACGTTCCATATAGTTTTGGTGGTATGTAATTATCTAATCATCTTTCATACATTTGGTCTTCGTTTATTCATTCATTCTATTTGAACAGGTATTGGGGGGGCTTTATATGGTAATTGGATGAGGCTTGCAGTGTTATTTTCCATCACTATTTCTCAGGTAATATTTGATTTCGCAAATGCATCAACGGTTAAATCTTCATAACATTAACATATATATAACAAATACTCTATCTAAATAGATTGGATTCGTGTGTGCTTATATGATATTCGTCGCTAAAAATCTCAAGTCAGTCGCGGAACAAGTTTTGGGTATCCGAGTAGATTTATATCTATATATTATTGGACAATTATTTGTTTTTGTACCACTCGCGATGATTCGACGAATATCAAGACTATCTTTTACTGCATTGATTGCAGATGCTTTTATTATGTTTGGACTTTTATATTTATATTACTTTGATATAAGTAAATTGGTAACAGATGGAGTAAGTGATATTAAATCATTTAATCCTGAAGACTTTGCACTATTTATTGGCACCGCTGTTTTCACTTTTGAGGGAATTGGATTGGTAGGTTCATATTAAATATGGAATACATAAATGTTTTATTTCAATTGATTATTCATTTGTTTAGTATAACCGTTTTCAATTTAGATTATTCCCATTACTGAATCCATGAAAGAGCCCGAGAGATTCCCTGGCGTTTTAACAGGCGTGATGGTTTTCATTACTATTCTTTTCACATCAATCGGAGCTTTGTCATATGCTACATTTGGTAGTGCTATTGAAACGGTAGTGATTATCAATTTACCATCTGATGATCCAATTGTTCAGACAGTTCAGTTTCTATATGCTTTAGCCATTCTATTATCAATTCCGCTTCAATTATTTCCAGCAATTAGAATTATGGAACAAGGATTATTTGAGAAAAGTGGTAAGCATGACCCTTATGTTAAATGGCAAAAGAACATTTTCCGTTTCGGAACAGTTGTTGCTTGTGCTTTAATTTCCTGGGGTGGCGCAAGTGATTTAGATAAGTTTGTTTCGTTAATAGGATCGTTCGCATGGTAAGCAAGCATCACATTTTCCCTATTTTAAATTTAGTATAAGTAAATAAATAATGATAACGAACTTTTTATATCTTTGTAGTGTACCATTATGCTTCTTATATCCACCCCTTTTCCATTATAAAGCGGCTGCTCATTCTTTTGGTGCTAAATTTTTAGACATTTTTATATTTATGTTTGGTGTTTTTTCGTTATTTTATACCACTTACATAACTATTCGCAAGTGGGGTGAAAATTAATAGATCTTGTAAGTTAATCATGTAATGCTTTTTTATTAATATTATAATGTTAAGATTATTGTATTCTTTAATATTTTGGTTACAAATAGGTTTATTTGGTAAATAGAGATTAAGTAATTTGTAAAAAGAAAATTATAAATTGATATTGAAATATATAGAAAATAAAAAATTCATTTCAAGAAAGAAAAAGATCTCGTTTTATTTCGAATTTAGATCCAATAATATATAAAATAAAACATCAAATTACTCTAAAATCGAAATTAATTAAATGAGTAAATGCCAAACAAAAAAAAAGACCATTTGGGCTAGCGTAAATTTTATTGTGATCCTTTGCATTAGCCCAATTAAGGAAATCGGCGATGTAATTAACAAATATATACCAACTAAACTAAACTATATAATATTTCCTACTTTATGTTTATTAAACTATATATAATCTTGTTAAAAAGTGTTCTAAATATTTGTAATTCTTTCAAGAAATCGATTCCTTTTCGTAACTTTTCATCCTTTAAAAGAAATTATTAGTCCAAATTAATTATGTTCATGATCTTCAGGCAATAAAGGTCGAGATTCTCGTGAATCTGGTGTAGGGACTGAGAAAAAAGGTGGTGGATTTATAACATTATTGAATGTGAATGTACCCAATACAAGAACAACAAATCCTGCATGTATAAATAATGTGTTAATATAAATAAATATTAATTAATAAGAGTTATAGTCCTGATATACTTACCAATAACTTGAAGCCAAGAGAAACTTTCCCAACCAAGAAAGAGTGAAACCGTCCAAACTAATACGATACGAGAGGTATCAATAGTAGACCTTGCAGTGGCACTTAACCTTCTAGTAACCGATAAACCAAAGAAATTGAAAAATGCGATAGAAAAGCAGATAGCAATCCCTGTAATCCAAATTTGTTTAAAAGAAATGATCTGGTTCCATCCTGCTGGAATATCAAAATAACCATCAGGATGATGTATTCCTATGATGAAATATAATATCGTAGCTCCAAATAAAACTGTTAAAAGTCCAAAAATTCCTTCAAGTCCAACTGCACGTAAAGGTTTAACACGATATCTTTCCATAATTTTCTCTTCAATAACAAATTGGCTCGCTGTAAAAATTTGAGCGAATAGAACAAAGAAAACTCCAATAAAAGCGTCAGTAGTAGAATTTTTATTATCATAAGCGCTATTTGAATCCGTTATAATAATAGAATGTGTAGGATCAGTTGATGAAATGATTTCTGTTTCATTAACAGAAAGATTTTCACTAGATCCCAATACCTTTACAGAAGGGAATAAAATACTACTCATGCCAACAATCGAAACACCTAAAACCACAAGAAATAGAGAATACCAATGGTATGCGTGGAGATGTCGACGAAGGAATAATACAGAGAAACAACCGGTAAATAATACAACTGCTCCACGAAGCATTTGATAAACTGATGCCGATGTATAGATCAATCCGACGTTCATAAGCTTTCAAAAATTATAAAATGATTTGAAAATATTCTTCTTCTTTTTCTTTTTTTAAAAAGAACGAATAAATTACATCCTTGACATAAAAAAATGTTTTAACACGTACTGTAGTGCCACAAATATCGCATAATGTAGGCAAACCAAACAAAAATACACGCCATCCGGTTAATTCTTCAGTAGCACCATGAAATTCATCATCAACTTTAATTATTTCATCGTCTTCATCTACAACAGTAATATCCTCGGAACCATCTGTCACAGTACCATCGGAAGCCAAAGGAGCATAACTTCTAGATTGATGATATTCCCAAACTAAAATTGCATAAACTAATACGAAACACATCGTTTCTCCAACAAACATATTAAAAGTTTGCCATATGGGTTGTTCAAAGTATTCTGGATTTTTTTTATCGCAGTCTTTAACACACGCCATATCCTGATATTTGTTTAAAATGGTGTTGCAAACACCACTTATTAACATTCCTATAGTCAAAAATAACGTTTTCGATCCCATCTTTCAAAAACTTAATAATAAAAAAAAAATCAAGAGAAAAAATATTCAAAACAAATTAATTTGACTAAAGACTCAGAAATTGATCTATAAAATGACATTTTTAATGATATCATCGATGAAACACCTTATAGCAAAATTGTTACGTTTTAAACAATACAGTATTTAGTTTGATTTATAGTGGGCAATGCACAACTTAAAAAAGAAAAGATTGACAATTCAGGTTTTTCCAATCCGAGATTTATCAACCATAAAATAAAGAATGGCTCAAAAGTTTAGGGGATGATTTTTTCAGATTTTCAGAAAATTTATTTTTCAAAGATCCGGGGTAATGAAATTATATTGGCTGATAAAATCACGAGATTTAATTATGAATCAAATCGAAAGTAATTAAAAATATTTAATATGATATTTTAGCCCAAATGAAAAAAATATATATAAAATCTAATTTTTTATTGTTCATTTAAAAAAATATATTAATTATTGAACTAAAATCATTATTTATATCTTTATCACACTTATACTTCATATCTAATGCATAATATTTTCCTATATTATACATTCGTTAAAGCATTCACAGCCCTTTTGAAAAGTAGATCTATATTAGTATCTAAAGAAAAATCTTCGCTGCCAATATTAGTACGGTTGTATCTCATTATAACAAATTTCTATATTCTGAATTTTTTGTTATTATGAATTTCATGAGTGGTCCCAAATTTTATTAAATAAACTAATTGAATATAATGAATTTTATAATAAACTTACTATTATTATATCATGTATCAAGTATAATAAATGGGACTTTTCTTAACGAGGTTTTTTATATAACGAATTTTTATATTAAATTTAAGGAATATAGTAAATTTTTTTCTTGTATTACTATTTAAGGAAATGTTACATTATATAATTTAATAAAGTATAAATTAATATTTAAATATTTGCAAGAATATAATAAAATATTAAACTAAATTTCAGCTGTGATTTTACTTATAAAGTAAAATAAATTATAATTATTTAATAAATTTCTATAGGGATTAATTAGTATTGAACTCAGATTAAAATGAATCAACCAATGATTAATCAGTTGAATTAGTGATGATTAATTAGTTGATTCAATTTATTTAATTTCTATAATTCAAATTTGAAATTGCTGAAAATTTCAATTGCAAAATTGTGAAAATTGCATAAATTTTAATTGCAAAAAATGTGTTCAGTTAGATATACAATTATGTAATATGCATGATAAATGATAGGTATTGTTATTTTTTGTTATTTCTTATTTGAGATATTTTAAATAAAAAGAACATATTTGTCAAAACAAATGGAAAACCTATATAATAAAGTGGAATTCATAGAAGTGATAATTAGGAGCGAAGTAGTAAAAAATATTTTTTTATACAATTTTCATAAAATTTAAAGGCATTTTTGTCTTTAATAAAATTTATTTAATTTTTATTCATTTATTATATTTAAATATTTATTAGAAAAAGTATAAAATTTTGGATGATATATTATATTACAATAAGTAATTGAAGATTATTTGATATAATAGATCATATTTTTTACTTTTTCATATAATTTGCCAAATCTACTGATCCTAGTAGATATATATGTGAAATATGCCAAGTCTGTCAGATATATTAAATATATCATATATACCAAATATATGAAAAATGGCAGATATGTTAAAATTTATTTTCTTATTTATTTTTATATTTAGAGCATGCTGCAACAAAATCAGACAAAGTAAATATTGATATTACCAAGAATTTTAGGGGTTAAAATTTAGTAATATGATTATTAAAATCTTTCATTTGTTATTCTCTTAATATTAAGTAATATATAGAATTACCTTTATATAAAAATAGTTAATATGAAGTTAATTTGCATTAGATTTACCATAGAACTCAAGAATTATAGTACTATCAGAAGTATTTTAAAGTAGAAACAATTATTGAAGAAAAAAAATTTATAGATATGTTAATACAGTATATCTTAAATTTGATTTAAATTTACTATTAACAGATATATTACAACATAATTTAGATGCAAATTTTATACAAATAAAAAATAATTTATATCAAAAATTATAGGTAAATATTTAGTAATAAATTAAATTAATATATTTAATCATAAATATTATATTAAAATTAATAGAAAATATTTAATTTTTTTTCATTTACAATTGATGTTTAGACAAGTAAAAATCAACTTTCATTTCTTGAAATTTTAATAAATTAGATTAATAATGAATGGTAATTACAAAGTATTATTTTAGACTTTTATTATTTATTAGGTTCACATTCTAAAGAAAATTTAACAAAAAAATTTTTAGAAGTTTTGCAAAATTTTAATATTTCAACAAAAGTATATAAATTTATTTAAATATAAATTTTTATTTTTTATATTATATTTAATAAATTTAAATTTTTATTTTTAAATTTTAGTAATTATATATGATAATACAGCAAATATGAATACAATTCTACAAAAAATTTTTTTAAGTTTAAATAAACAAAATATTGAATTTGATCTTTATCATTAATATATTAGATGTTTTACTTATATTATTAATATAGCTATATAAAAAGTACTTAAAAATCTTAATGAATTAGAATTAAATAATGAAAATGCCTTAAATGAAAAAATTAAAACTGATGAAAATTTACAAAATATTATATATAAAGTAAGTTATATTCTATTATTTAATAAAAAAATACTTTATAATTAATTTAATTTTTATTTTTATTATAATTATTAAGCTTAAAAAATTAATAGTAAAAATTCATACTTTACTTCAACAATATGAAAGATTTTATCAATAATGTATTGCTTTAAATCTTCAAAAATTAGAATAATTGTAGATATTATAGCTTATTGGAATTCTACAGATATGATATTAGAAAGAACACTTTTATTAAAAAATGCTCTTTATAATATAGCATCATCTAATAAAAAATTTAATATATATATTCTTTTAAATTATGAATGAAATTGTAAAGAAATACATAAATTTTTATAAGTTTGTAATTTATTCAAAATTTTATTTAAAAGTATATTATATATATTTATTAATAATTAATTATATTTAGCATTTTAAAAAAAAATCAGATTTTATTACTGGTCAATTATATCCTACACTTTATATAGTGTTTTAGTTTATAATTATTTAATAGATAAATTTGAAGATACAATTAATAATGATAATAATAGAACTGAAATTAAAATTTTAGCAAAATTAGCAAGAAATAAAAATTTAAAATATTATCTATTAACAGATAGACATATTTATATTATTATTACAGATTAGTTAAAATTAGATAATCTTTATTTTTATATAATAATATTAATAATTTTTATTTATAATTAATAGTAATAGATTCAAGGTTAAAATTATAATCACCAATTAAATAAAAACCTATTGGTCAATTTTCATATGCCCAATATATCACTGATCTATAATTTATTTTGCTATGAATGATATCTAATATACCTATATGATTTTTAACCAAATCTTAGCACAGATTATAGTTAAATCAAATGACTTTTAGACTAGGCTATATCAGATTAATTTAAATTGAATATTAGTAGATAATTAGAAAATATTGATAAACATGATTTATTTCGATATATTTATTAAAATTTCCTGATATGTTATATTTTTTGAATCAAAATTATAGTTTTTATTATAACAATTTTATTTTTTATTTAATTTTGTAATTTAATATTTATTAATATATTTATTGATACATTTACTTTTTAAATTAATAATTCTTTATTAATAAAATAATAAATCTTTATTTTCCAATAAATATTAATAAAATCTCTTGCTAATAATTTAATTAATATATTCTAGTATTTCATCCTATTATTAGAATTAAATAAATTAATTATACTGAAATAATGAATAAATGAAATCATCAATAATTACTTTCATTCTGACTGATAAGAAGCTAAAACAGTTCACTTCAATGTATTTAGAGGTGGTAAAATTATCTTCAATATATAATTAATCATTATATCACCTTTTTTTTCGCTACTTTTATATTTTGAACCTTTTCCCTTATTTTGTCAGCCTATCATAAGAGACATAAAAGAAGTTAAATTTAATAATAAAAATAATTATTATAAATAAATCAATAAATAAAATAAAAAAACAAATAATTATAATATTACTTACTCTTTTAAGATCTTTATATTTTATCATATATGTGAAGTACATGTGTTGATTCTTCTTAGATATATTTATCTTTTCTTCTTGAGCTTTCTTTACATCTGATTCAAATACTTCATCTGAATGATAACTTGAATTATCAATTATTTTCTCTAGATGTTTAAATTATTCTATTTCATCGAAGGTTACTACAAATCTAACAGCATTTGATTTTTTATATTAACTATATATTGTATTCCTCTCTATCACATTTTTTCTTTGTAGTAAAAACAAATAAATAAATATAAATATTACAAAAAATTAAAAAATTTATAAAATTATTAGTGAATATTGGTAAAAAAAAATATATTAAAAATACATTAAAAATATAAATAAATACATATATTCTTCTTTCAGCTATTAACACCCGGTTTTTTTTATTGGCTTTTGATTTTTGAGAATTGATTAAAATTGTGTATGCATTTTTTTGATGGTAATGGACATTTTGTAATACGTTCTTTAATTCTACATTGTTATACTGAAATTGATCTTTAAGAGCTCTTGTTATAGCTAACATAATATTTTGTAATACATCTTTTTCAATATTACTTTAGCGTTTCTTATAGTCAATAGATAAAGAATTATCAAGAGCATGTTCTTTCAAAGATATACTATAGTAAAGGTATTTTACTTTGAAAATAATGCTCTAGAAGTGTATTCTTTTAAAGATATGCTACAGTAAAAATGTTTTACTTCAAAAATAATATTCCAAAAGTGAAATTTTTAAAAGAACTCACTATAGAAGTAAAATTCTTAAAAGAATTTGCTATAGAAATGAATTTTTAATAGA